AGGAAATATTGAATTTGATGATTTTTAACCTTTAGATTTGTGCCTGTTGGCATGAATTTAACTTTAGAAAGGTGTCATTAAGAACATGCAGTAGTGTAATTAAATACTAAGCAGTGATTACATCAAACCGAACACTTGTTTTTCATATTTATGTAATTTAAAAGTATAAATTCTAAGTTTACAATTAGAATATTTGAGATGTAGTTATCTTTTAAGGCTGTCTTTCAAACATTAAAAAAGTCAATATTTTGCCTAAACTTACAAATCGCAAATGTTATAAATTTGATTTGTCCTAATTATTCAGATTTATTTTCAAGATATATTTTTGTGACAGCACAGTTTGTTTGCAGACAAAGTAATAGTACCTATGTTCAGAAGTATAAACATTCACCAAATCAGACTTTACAGTTTCAAAATATTTTCTTGTGTTTAGACTATTGCTGTTTTTAGGAACATTTGTGAACATCAGTACTCTGAGTGTGTGAGAAAAGTATAATATAAAATTTGCAATTAAGTGGTTGGATTAACATTGTAGTAATAACTTTAATTGAATCGTCATAATATATTGCACTGGGATTGTGTTCAAAGGGTATTTGTCTAAGTAACTTCTTTTATTTTTTAGATGAAAGACACAGATGTTGAAGATTCAAATGAAGTATCTGACTCTGCATCAGGGAGTGGCGATGAGTATATACCAGATACCACTTCTGAAAGTGAAGAGAGTGATGCTAGCCTGAAACCAAGGACCAAACCTTTGTCTCTTGATGACGTATTGAATGACTCAGATTCAATGAGTCCCCCAGTCTGTGACACGACAACTTCAGACCATGTGATCTTTGACAGCAACACAACAACATATGAGGTCACTGAAGCAGATGGACCCTGCACAAGTCAAGACATGACTGACAGCATAGTTGTTCGTGCTTCCAAAAAAAGAAATGGCAATAGAGTGTACAACAAGAGACATTATTGCTTGTATTGCATTAAACCTTATGCCAAGATGGCAAGGCATCTAGAAAGTGCACACCAAGATAAAACAGATGTGGCCAAAGCTCTTAGCTTTCCAAAAGGTTCCAAGGAAAGGAAAAAACAGCTGGATTATATTCGCAACAGAGGCAACTATGCTCACAATGCTGCTGTTATGAAGTCAGGGAATGGAGAAATGGTACCATGTAAACGACCACCTAAAGAAGCAAAAGGAGGTGATTTCATGCACTGTGCATACTGCCAAGGACTTTTTACAAGAAAGGTCCTGTGGCGACACATGCGAAGTTGTAAACGGTCCAGAACCTGGATCAGTTCGCCCGAAACCAGCGAAAGACCCGGCGTTCAGTCTTGTGTGTAGGCGATTCCACTAGGGCCAGTGGCGTTCACAATAAGTACAACAAGTTCGTGTGAAAAGTGGAACGAGAGTGGTACCTCTGCAACAGCCGCTAAGAAGCCATTGCAGAAGCAAAGTGGAATGTGCCACGTCCTAATGCCATTGTATACAGAAGAGATGGCATCAGTCTTCTCAGTCAATGGCAAAAGAGCTGCAGCAGATCTGCGCGGGTCATGAAAGTCCTGTCTACCAACAGACCGTGCTTGAACCTGGCAAAGGTGTGTTTAGCACAGACCATCCCTTTCTTTAACCGACGCCAGGAAAGGAACAGGTGGCGAGCATGCCCTTGTCTGCAATTTTTCTCAGAGACTCCTCAGGTCCCACCAGCGATTTGGACTGCAGACATCTCTCTGAAGGTGGAAACAAAAAATCTTGCAGACATTTCTAAGGATAACATCAGGAAAACGAGGCTAGGCCTGTTCCAGATTCTTCTGACCTCCGAAAAATGCTGTGTGCATTAGAACTGCTTGTTAAGCATAGAAGGCTTGTGAAGTCTCACAAGACAATGCTTACATGTTTGGCAAGACCACAGCCTGACACCACATCGTGGTTCAGACTGCATCCGGGGCTCTCGGCAGAAAATATGTCGGTGCAAAGTGTCCTGAGTCACTGACATCCACCAGACTACGAAAACATGCTGCAACCCTTTTCAACGTCGCTGAATATGACAGACAGCAGAGATGGACCCGCTGGCCAACATTTCTATCTAGAGCAACCAGCAGACCATCACACTGAATTGCAGGAAGAAACGAAGGAAAGAGGGAAGAGATGAATGGTTGGGACCGGGAGACGAGAGAAGGAGAAAGAGGCGGAGAGAGGGAGAACTGGAGATGCGTCTTTGTGGGAGGAAAGACCGCACTCATATTTATTCACTTCTAAAGAGAAAAGACACACTTTTTCTAAGACTCGGGTTGGATTTTATTGTTTTTTTTTGTGGGGCAGAAGGAGAGGGTATAAGCAGGGGATGCAAGATCAAGAGTGTCTGTGCATGTTTGGCTGTCTTTGTCTCTGTATCTTGTGTGCGTGCATCTTTCACTCTATGTTGCGCTGTTGAACTAAGCATGGGAGGGTGAGCGTGTGTGACAGTGTGTATGCGTGGAGGCCCTCTGAGGTCAGTGTGTCGTTTTAGCAGGCTTAGCCGCGCAGTGGGTTGAAACCAGGCTCGAACACGCTTCCACGGAATGAGAGAGAGGGGAGAGACGATTAACCCAACCACCCCTCCCCGGGTGTACACACAAAACACACGCACAACAAAAACACAGGCAGCAGATTACCCGTGACTTACTGGTGCACACACACATTTTCTCTCTTTTTCCTGTCTCTCTCACATACGATAAAGCTCCCCAAGCGTCAGAACTGAATGAGTTATTCATTCAGGTGCTCTGTGTGTGT